TTTAAACATCACCATGGAAACCAATTTCATTTCAGGGAATTGTCTAATTAATACACATTAAGGATGTATTTAATGAAATTCTAATTACTAATATCAGAATACTTGTGATTTTTTCAAAAAAAATATTCTGAAATTCTGATTTTAATTTCATTGAATACTGCCATGTGGCACCATGTAATACTAATTACAGGGCACTACAGTTCACAACTAATTACGTCTGATTAATCATATAGTCCATAATTACAGTAACTTAATAATATAGGCCTACCCAATTAGATATAAAATAACACTGGGGTCTAGAAAATAATTTAAATGTGTAGTTTGTAATGAATAATGGTATAACTTTTTGTGTGTAAAATGTTGTGAAATATGTATGTAGTTTTTGTTCAATGCAATAAGCTTTTGAGTGTGCAGTCAGTGTAAAGTGTAATTTAAGCTTTTCAGCACATGTAAATTTCTCCACTTAAAATTGATTGTCAGTTTTCAACCTGGTTCTGGTTCCCTTTTCATTTAGATTATGATGGCTTGTACATCTTTTGTGATCATGTACTTGATCACAACAACATAGTCTGTCCAATTAATACACATATACTTGTGTATTTGCTGAACAGGTTGTCCATTTTTATTTCATTCATTCATTATATTGTTCCCATGGGCTGGATGTTTGACAGACCCATGCCCTTGTGTATTTGTCCGAAAGACCCATGTAAAGTAAAGAGATTGTTATTATTATTATTATTAATGAAGTTTGTGGGCCTGACATTGCTTTAAATGTTAAGGATCAGAGATGAACCATACAATGTGTGCTAGTGACTGCAGACATGAAAGGTCCGTTGATAGTTGGTAATTGAAAAAGAGAATGCTAATGCCTTCATTGCACACTACATGGTGTTGTCCATCTTCGATAGACCAATCAGGTGTAGAAAAACGCGCAAAACACCATTTCATTCATTTTATTTTGACCAAAACAATACCAAAATTGGGCAATGTTCAGTATCTATCTAGTATTATTTGCTGTCCACTGTAACAAGACACAACTAGAACAATACAAGTTGTTTATTTTCTCTCTTTGTTTATTGACTGACATGTTGACAATCTTTGTTTATTATTATCTATCAACTTGGTACTATTTCAAACCTTTTCTCACTCATATTGTAACAATATTCTCATCTCCTTTGAAAAGGTAAAAGAAAGAGATCAATTTTAAATCTCAGATTTGCCACATATATGTTTCTTGATACTTTGTTATCATTGAAGAGTTATTGCCCTTGTTTCTACACAAAACACTATGGGCTTGACCCCCAGTTTATAGGAATTTTTGTGTTTTAAGTGATACTTAAGCTTATTTTGCATTCTTATACTACTATATAAGATTTCATTCCTCCACCAACTTGCTCAAACACTTAAGCTTTAAGCACTGATTCAAGCACCAGTAGAACATTATTGTGGTAGGTGCAATCCAGGGCATACTGGCCCATCATGATCACGAGGTACTTCTCTGTGTGGGTTTCCCCTTTCAGAGAGTGCTCCTCCGAGTAAGTTTGAGTGCCAATACGAAATTATTGAGGTGATGCTATTCTGTACTTGCTAGCCTTTCATGACTACAGGCATTCTGACCAGAGATCACTTGGTACCACTCTGTCCAGGTTTTACTACCTTACAAGTGATAATACTTGGAAGATATTTTTTTATTTGATAATGTGTTTTGTGGATCAATACCAACCATGATCGTTATTTCTGTAATTAACAATCAGATAAAGAGAGACATGTTATTCTAGGATACCAGAAACAAGTTATTAATGTATCATGAATAAAGAACAGTCTCAGGATCTGTGTAGCATTAAATCATGTAATAGATGTATGGTTAGACTAAACCACATCATAACCCAGTTAGACACAAATCAATAATAAATCAATAGACATTCTAACAATTTAATATATTACTCATTTTCTCAACTTAACTTCCTGAGGGTATGCTTTTTCTCATTGTCAGTAACAGCTGATTTATGAGATTACGGATGCTTTGATCTTGTTTGTTTTTTCGGAAGCAAAATATCGTAGTGTGTGGTTGAGTTATGTTGTAATTTTTTGAATGTTCAGCCTCGGGTAATTTAAGTAAGTTTCAAAGATAGTAGGATAGCTAAGCCTTGCAATTAATTGCGTTGTGTTTGAATCCCTTCAGAGGTAGACAAATTTCTGATGGCACAACCCATTATCAGTCACCATTTCAACCACCAAGTTGTAGGGCTATTATTTGCAGTTAAACTACCTTTAGTGAATGTTTGGTGGGTAAAACTTTGATTATCATGATTATCTGTGCCACATCTGCCAATCGACTTACTTCCTTTGTGATAATAATGGATTCAACTTCAACGAGAGATTTAAATGGATATATATATTATGAAATAACTACAACACCACAATATTTGAAGTTGAATCATTCTGATTGTAATATGGATTGATGTCAATGGATAATCTACATATTGAAGAAACTTGACTGCATGTTGTGATAATATATATTTTTTGTGACAATTGGTGTGAAAAAGGAAATTGACATTTCAGCTGATAAGGTGTATGATTATGCAACAGTTTCACTTTAAAAGGAAATAGATAACTGATTTGTACCCTTTGATACCTGTATTGTTTATAGTCAATCATCAATCATAATCATACACTATTACATTGCCAATGTTATAAACTAGTGACAATAAACCCCAGTAATACTATTGATATACCCCAGTAAACTACTGATATACCACACTTGACCATCTGATAATATGATTGATATACTGCAGTAGAAATGTCATATTATTATTTATACCAATATGACCTATTTATTCCCTTTCTACTCAGTTATTGATAAATATTTCAAATATTTTATAAAGCCTAGATAAGAGAGACATATATATGGTATGATTATGTTATTTCCATCTCACTGTTCTGTTATGTTAAATGTCAGGGGCTAATATAGTGGAACACTAGCTGACTCTCACCTAGCCTGTGACAAAATCAATCAGAAAGTACAAATGTCCTTAGCATTTCACAGTGCAGTTTTACTGTTGACCATTTATTTATGCACAGTACATTAGAGCAGTTAGAGTGTCGATATCTTACAAGACATCATTTGCTTGATTACATTCTGGGGTTCTAGTATATGTACAGTAAACAAGATTCCAGTAGACCTGGCTGTAAATGGCTACAGATGATCTGTTAAAGATCATTGCCAAGAGGTATGGTCAAAGACCAGCTGGTAATGATCTCATTGAATCTAAGTTGTTATCCTGTATTAAAATGTTTGTTTTTTACATTTCCTAGCTTTCATCACGATTTGACATTTTACATTCAATTCCTATCATCAAACCAATCTGGAACTTCTGAAACAAGGTCGGAATTTCATGCCTTGAGTTTCAGGCCCTGATAGACAATGCCACTGGATATTATATGATAGGATGATTTGTCAAACTGAGACAGAGATAAGATATTTTGATAGATCTTTAATCATTATATAAATATTTAGTTATGAGTTGATATGAGATGTTACTACGCCCATGGTTAAAATATCATTATTTTTCTAGATTTTATGTTATTTAAAGATAAAAATATGGTTATTTATCTTGTAAACAATGTTAGTTATTCTATGAGGTGGTATAGATATTGTTTATATGTAATATCATACTTGGACTTAAATCAAATTGAAATGAGTCAATATACTTGCCTTGCAATCATAAAATTCTCTTGTAAACATGTTAACTTAATTCAGGAGTTAGGAAAGGGGAGGTGGGGAGGGGTTGTTCCAATTGTTTTGATCTGTACTTGACAAATTGTGAATCAGACATTGTACAAAATTAACAGCACTGTTATCAAGAGTTCCAGTTGACTACTCATGATTATAGTCAGTTTGGAAATGGATATCAATGATTTTAATTCAGATTGGTTGAAACTGGATTTTTTTTTTCAAAATATTTATTTTTATAAGTCATACTTCATTGACTTCTTTCATATCTGACTACTTTGATTGACTTCGCCCTTCATTAATTTTTGTCTCCAGATGAAATTTTATTAAAAAAACCAACCAAATGTATTAATTTTTCTCTGCGTTATACAACTTACTGGTTTATACAAACTCATTTCGTACCTGAAATATATTTAATTTTATTCTTTAATTTGTGTTTTTGACCATGATATAAATTTCCATTCTAACCTATGAAATTACTAGTTCAAATTCTGTTACTAAAAACAATGATTGATTGAAATATGACTGATTAAGAATAATTCAAATATAACAGTATATCAGCAATTATAATTAGTTAAGTATCATACAATAAGTTAAAAGTTTAAAAAATAATGACAGTTTAAATTGATATGCTTGATATGCAATGTTTTATTGATATAGATGTTTTATTGTGAAAGATTGTGATGTATTGTGATCTATTATTGTGTGTGTTTGTCTGGCAGCAGAAGACATAAGAGAACAAGAGTATATGAAGCTTAACAAGATTAGGTTTTAGAGAAATATTTCGGCCTAGTTATCCCTGACATGTCATTGATGTTTGCCGTGGAAACAAGCTACTGTTTTTTTAACGCATGACATTGTCTTGACTGTTCATTCTCCGCATGATGGTTTACCGTAACTTTTGTAATATTTTACCTTACTTTTTGATTTTAACGTGTATATTTCTGCATGTTATTTTTATGTTAACAATTTCTACCAGTGCTAATTCACAGTATTTCACTATATTTGCTGCAAAAACTCAGCTAATGTTGTTGGTTATTGGGAAAATGGACTAAACTAATTGATAAACAAATGTTCCGATAATTTTATTTTCCTTAAATGTTTATTTTATACCAAAAAACTGTTTCACTTTAAAGAAAAAATTGTATTAGCTGTTTAAAATTTGTCAATATTTGAAAGATTAGGTGACGTTTTCAAATGTAAATACACATTTGTGCTGTTTGAGACGTTTGACATATTTTCTTTCAATTTTCAGATGGCATTTAAGATGCGGAGTACTAAATTCCGCCATGTGTATGGTAGTCCTTATCGAAAAGAACAATGTTTTGAAAATGTGCGGATTACCAGAAATGCTCATGACAGTAATTTTTGTGCAGTCAATCCTAAAAGTATAGCTGTTGTAACAGAAAGCGCTGGTGGAGGAACATTTCTTGTTTTACCCACAGATAAGGTAAGTTGTAATATTAACTATTAACAGTCTACATAGCTAATAAGATGTATAATGTTATGATAATATAATTTTGCATATTTTGAAATGCTATTTTGGATTGATATTTTAAACTTACTTTATGAGATTCCATTGTGTTTTCAGCCAGGAAGAATAGATATCAATCAACCTAAAGTATGTGGTCATTCAGGAGCAATTATGGATATAAAATGGAGTCCATTTAATGATGATATCATTGCTTCTTGTTCAGATGATTCTTCGGTAAGACTTTTAAGAACTCTTATGCCTGTTCTTTAGAACATGTCCATTATGAACGACAGTTTTGGTTTTTGCTTGTTTTCAAGCAACAATTAAGAGTAAGAATTCTTGATTTGATTTAGATGAATTAAGTGACCATGTTATCTGATTGATCAATCACTAAAATTTGTTTTTAAATTTAGTTTTATTATCCAATCTTCTTAAAATCTGGTTTTTATGTTATCAAATTTTTTGAGATAAGGCTCGTGAATATTTCAATTGGTGAACATCAGAATCATAGTATAATTTAATAGATTATTCAGTTTGGAAAGCCCTTGTAACTAACTCTTGTGATAAAACCACGGAATTTCAAGAGTTGTTAGTTAACGCCTGTCAACACTTGAAGACATTTTGACTTTCAATGAACACACTTTAGAATAAGAAAGAGATTAAAATTAAAAGTCATTTTATTTTGGAAACTGAAGAAGGATTGTTATCAGAAGTGAAAGATATCTTAACCAGAAATAATTTGCTATTCAGAGTTTCATGCACTACTTAAAATTTTGTAATTCATCTTGCAAGACATTTGCACAAAATGTAAAGATAACAAACGAATTAAGATTGTTGATGGGAGGACACAACCATGATAGACATTCTGACATGTATTTGTAAATTAGAAAAGTTAATTTCACTAATATGACATATTGTCTAGACAGAACATGATAATCCACAAAAATCAAGACATTTCATGATCATGAGATAAACATTAAATTGGACAAGAAGTTTGAAAACAAGCATTCTTACCAGTATTTAACATTTAACCACTGAACAATTTGCTCTTCTATTCAAAGTGTGAAATGATTTTGAGTAGAAACAGCAGGTGTGGCATCAGGTAGGGGTATGCTTACTCTTATAGACACCTGATACCACTTTACAATTGATATACTTATGTGAAAAGTTCAGTAGCTGCTAACAATGTCTGGCCAAACTGTTGTTTTGGATGTCAGGTTTTGTTTAGTGGTTCGGATCATTAGCACTAAGTTTTTAATTTAGAACAGGAATCATAAAATTTCTCATCAAGCTAGATATTTTCAACATGGAACATAGTGACATTACAATATCTGTAAATTACAGTCTATATGTACTATTATATTGTGAACACTGTACTGTGTAAATAAGTGAGAATCTACACAACTACTACATTAAAATAACAAACTATTTTAAGAGAGGGTGTGTTTGTTAATACTGCATAAACACCTAAACATTACACACTTCACACGCTTGCACTGAATATTGACTTCTACCTTCTATCATGCAAGTCATTGTACTAATAGTATTGGTCTAAATCAGAACTATTGTTTCGTTTGTATTGCCAGTCATGTCTGGCTTAACGTTCTTAAGTATCTCTACAGTGAAGTTGCAAATCTCTTGTGAGTTTTTCAAATTAAGCCATGACAAATATATAAGATATATATATCTATGAAAAATTTGAAATATGTTAAAGTCGAGATCAAAAGTAACATTATTTCTGTGGTATTAAACAAATATTTCATGACATAAGCCAGTGCTCTTATAAGACTGTTCTCATCAATACCTTACACAAATATGATCTGATCTATACATGTTAAAAGGCATAAAATATGTCCAGTCAGTCCAGTCATACACTTTCAAAGAAAGTAAAGGCATAATTGTCTGTTTCCTACGGAGCCCCTTAGGCGCAATTTTCCGTACTTTTATAAATATTTCGTTTTAACGATGGAAGATTGCGTCTTAGGGGCTCCTTAGTTTCCTCTTTCTAGAGCATGAAATTCTTTAGGACTGTTGTTACAAGAGATTTGCAAAGTTTTTGCCCCTTTATTACCGACAGATTAACACAAAATTTAGGCTTTACATTAAATAGAAGTATTCTATTAAATGAACAGAATATGAAGAGTAATTTTTACTTTCTTGTGCTTTATTACAGATAAAATTATGGGAAATACCTAATGGTGGTTTACATAGTAATTTATCAGATTGGTTGGTAGATTTACATGGTCATACTCGTAAAGTTACCTACATGGACTGGCATCCTTCAGTTGAAAATATTCTACTGTCTGCTAGCTTAGATTATAAAGTAAGTTTCCTCATTTTGTAAATCCATTGAGGTTTCTTTAGATTGTTAATTATTTTCATGAGACATATATAAATACAGACACAAGTACAGGCCTTAAAACTCATGTGAGTCTCCTCGATTTTGAAACCTTTCAGACCTGCTTATATGAAATGGTTTGTTATCTAGTGTTATTAACTAATTATAATAAAATTGATATTTACAGTGTGTAGTATGGAATGTAGAACAAGCTGAACCTGTTAATATAATAGATTGTCATAATGATACTATATTCTCTCTATCCTGGAATAATGATGGCAGTCTATTCTCTACTACTTGTAAAGATAAACATCTACGTATTATAGATCCTAGAATGGCTACAGTGGCAGTGGTAAATATTAGATAACTCCTTACACTAATATTCTTGTTGAATTGCTGATAATGCAATCCAAGTTCATTTGTAAGAGTATTATGCATGGCAGATTATTTGGGTAAGGGTCACTTAGGTTTAATTATCGATAGTTGCTCAGTGATTTAGCGTAAGAGTCCAGGGTTCAATCCCAGTGACACAGGTCAAAGGGGATGGAGTGAAACAAAAGTCTTGGATTTTTTCCGGATTTTCAGGATTTCTTTTACGGCTTAACATGGACTCCAGCAGACTACCGGTACCTATAAGTACATTTAAACTCATTTTTGGCCGATATGGAATAAATTTGATGTCTTTTCTTTCTCTTTCAGGAAGCAGAAGGTCACGGGGGAGCTAAACCATCTAAATGTGTGTTTATTAAAGATAATAGACATATATTTACAGCAGGTTTCTCTAGATCTAGTGATAGACAATATGCATTATGGGATGTGGTATGTACACTTACTTACAACTTGGCTTTTATTTGCCCACATGAATTGTGGAGCATATGTTGTCGTTGCATAAGTTTATCTCGATCTGTCTGTTTCTTCATCCACAATTGCTCATAAACACTCTAGACGGCATGAAATTTGATCGATTTTGACGAAACATGGTGAAATTGTCCCACGGTTTTTGGAAATCAAATTTAAAAATCATTGAAATGGTTCTGTTTCTGCCTTAGAGATTTTCCCTCATTGTACACTCTATTTCATAATGCTTAGATCTGTTTGTGTACTGTTATTTTATTTTACAGAGAAAAATGAATTCACATTTAGTTCGAAATACAATAGATTATGACAGTGGTATATTATTACCTTATTATGATCCTGATTTAAATATAGTTTATTTAGCTGGCAAGGTAAGATTGCTGTTCATTATTAAGTTTATATCCTGAAGAGATAATATTTTAAATCTGGTCTGTGTTATTTAAGTAAAATCTTACAGTTGATTCTTATTTTAGGCTGCACAATTAAAGAGTGGTTGTATTAAAACAGTCTGGTTATAGCTAAAAGAGATCCATGACAAAAACAACCCAACATATTTGGTCCAAAGTGATCCAAGTTGTGGTCAGAATGGACACAAAATTCAGATCCATTTTAAATAAGATTTTTGGCTCAGTTTTTTATATTCGATGAAAATTTTAAGAAGATGAATCTCATGCCCTAGTCACACATTTCTCAAAATTATTTTTTAGGGAAATGGTAATATAAGATATTATGAAATAGCTTCTGAAGAACCTTACATTCATTTCCTAAATGCTTATCAATCTTCAACCCCACAGAGAAGTCTAGGTAAAAAAGAAATGTATATTCATGTGTTATGTGCTGTGTTATGTGCTGCCAATCAATCTTAACAGCGATCTGATTCAGACTTCTAGTACCATTTACAACTGAGTTGACTGAACAGTGAAGCAAGATGATTTTATCAAAGTTGCTAGGCCCATAAGGATTTATTCAGGACCTTGAACATAAGATCTGCATTTCAAATTCTGAATATAGGGTAGAAACTATATGCAATATCGTAATTTTTAAATTTCAGGTATGATGCCAAAGAGAGGCTGTGATGTATCAAAATGTGAAGTTTTAAGGTTTTATAAATTACACGCAGCCAAAAATCTGATTGAACCGATCTCAATGATATGTCCTAGAAAAGTAAGATTTCAATGCAATATTATTACTTTTCAAGATATTCACAGGGTCCGTCTGAGGGGTTTGACCACTGAGGACTCTAACAACAAAATAATGATTCGTTTGCTTTCAAAATAGACTTCGTGCACAAGCTTGGGGATTCACAAGTCTTATTGTGGTAGAAATTTGCGTTTTCATCATATTTGAACTGGATGGTTGATAATATCTCATCAGTGTGTGGTCTATCATAACATATTCTATATCTTTAATGATAAATTCATCATCTTATTGCACTATTCAATTCTATTTCTGATATATTTCAGTCTGATAAATTCCAAGAAGATATTTATCCACCAACACATGGAACCATTCCATCATTAGGTCCTGATGAATGGATAACAGGACAGAACCGTGATCCTATATTAGTCTCAGTAGCTGTAAGTATTAAAGCTTGCTAGATCGTGTCTGCATTTATCTTTATGTGTCTTAGTTTGTGCTTAAGTTATTTTCCTTATCAAATGCTTTCACCTGATGTCAATGTCTGATTGTGTTAGTCAACTTGCCTATATTCTGAAGAATATCTCAAGCCTTATGCTTAAGAACCTATGTTGTTGTCATTGGCAGCTGTTAAAAAGTTAAAGAAAAAACTTTCATATTTAATGTAAACAATGTAAAATATTTTAAAACTATTTTAAAGAGTTGATATAAATATTGATATTACTTTATAAACACTAGATATCTCTTTTAAATAGAAAAAGATAAAAAAATATCTTTATGAACACTTTTTCCCAAAATTTTTGAGAAATTTGAACAAATGACACATCTGTTTTTGAGCAAAAGAAACTGAAAGAAAAGCAATTTCACCTGAAATGCATTCCAAACTGTGCTAGCCTTTGTTTTCTTGAACTTTGTATATATCATAGTGCATGTTGGTATATATCATAGTGCATGTTGGTATATATCATAGTGCATGTTGATATATATCATAGTTCATGTTGGTATATATCATAGTGCATGTTGGTATATATCATAGTGCATGTTGGTATATATCATAGTGCATGTTGGTATATATCATAGTGCATGTTGGTATATATCATAGTGCATGTTGGTATATATCATAGTGCATGTTGATATATATCATAGTGCATGTTGGTATATATCATAGTGCATGTTGGTATATATCATAGTGCATGTTGATATATATCATAGTTCATGTTGGTATATATCATAGTGCATGTTGGTATATATCATAGTGCATGTTGGTATATATCATAGTTCATGTTGGTATATATCATAGTTCATGTTGGTATATATCATAGTGCATGTTTGATATTCATAGTGTTGTTCTGTTTCTGGACCAAAAATATCTTAATGCATTCAATCTTTTCGTATCATCCATGAAATTATCTTCAAGATTTTATTTGTTGTCTTTTTGGTGGTCATTGTGCTTGAAGTCATCTTTTGAATGAAATTCTAATTTGCTTTGTGTCTTTTTTTCCAAAATCTGTTGTAATGGGTAAAAGATTCTGTGCTATTGGTGCATGACAAAATTTGAATATTTGTAACCATGCATGATGTAGTGTAAGCAGAAGTAAGCACTGGCTTGGCAGAAATTGCAGCAGAATGTTTGTTCTGAATACATAGTTGACAAATTGTCAATGCATCTTGTTAGACCATTACTTAATATTCGTATTAGTATGAGGTTTTACTAACTAAAGTTAAATGTATCTGGCATTGATAAATATTTATGAAATGTTCTTGTGAGTTACTGCCGTTTGTGTTGACAGACACACATGTTAATGTCATTAATTATATAATAGTGTGTTGTGAAAAAGATTGAATTTGTTGAAATAATTTTGGTCTAATATATTTACTGCACGCTGTTTGCTGAATTTGTTCTGTATTTTTTCTTTCTTTTTTTACATTTCTGCTTCTCAGGACGGCAATGTATTAAATGCTCCAAAAATTACCACATCTAAAGCAGTTCAAAAACAGGTAAAATCTTTCTGATCCTTCTAATTACTGCTTTGTAGAGAGATAGTTAATATCAAATTTATTTTATCATTTTATTTTGATAAAGGTAAAGGAGAATATTTTAAGTTTATTTATATTTTTAATTCAGAAATAAAATTATGTTTTTAGAAAAAGGCACGTATTGTTGCTGTAGTTGAAAGTTTTTTTTTCCATATTTTTGTACAAATCTTAGTGCTAAGCAATTTTACAAGGTTCAAACCAATTTGGAAAATGGTCAAACAATGAAATATGTGCACCATGAATCCAGAAAACAGTCTCTTTTTCCGAAATTTTATACATTCTGATGCTTATCAAATGAATTTTCACCACATTTTAATTTTATATTATTTTATTATGTAGAATGTTTCTCTTCAATTATTTTTCAATATTTAAAGATTCAGTTTCATGAACAAATTCATAATTCATAAAATATTATTTCTGTTTACAGGAGAGTGCTTTAAATTCTGCACCAACAATTACAACATATAAATCTGTAAATAAACAGAATCAAGACAATCAAAAATCAGCTCCTAGACGTGCCAATACTATCGCTACGGAAACTTTTACTCATAATAACAACACTACTAATGAACCAGCTTCTATTCGCAATATCAAACGTCTGAGTACCAATGAAGATTTTGTCTCAATAAGGTATGTGCTTTGATTTTTTTTTATCTCTGGCTCAAAATTCCCTTTTAGTTTCAGGAATATTTTTATGACACAGATCTTATTGTAACTGTGAGAGGGTTAATGCTGTAAGGTTGTTGATTAGATTTATAGTGATATGGTTTAAAGTATGAAAACAGCATCATTACCAGGTCCCTGTTTCTCAAGGAAACATTTTTTGTCATAAGTTTCGGATTTTATAAAACAATACTTGCAACAGAAATTGACAGAAGATTTTTTGGAGAAACAGCACCTTTAGGTTCTTTTGGTTTTACTTATTAAATCTGAGATGACCAAAGCCTTGTTAAATTAATTGCTTTGCGTGCATTTAGCCTTTCCTACAGTTTTATACATATATTATATTCTGCAAATATTGTTGTTATAGATATAATTCTGCTATGTCATTGTAAATTTCTCATATGCTAATAGAATGACTTGATATATTTTCTATATATTTTCTTCAATAACTGATATTTTCTTCTCTTAGTATATAGAAGTTGTGTAATGCTTCACATCAAATCAATATGGTTGTTTTGCTGATGCCATTACCTCCGAAATGTAATTTTTGTCACAATGTCCTTAGCAACAATATGCTTTAGTATATTCTGCTATCTTCAGTATTCAAAGTATATCATGGCTCTTAGCTTCCAACATTTGAATATATAAGCTAGTAGCTTCTTTATTTTTTATTTCAACTTCTGTCTGTTACTAACATTCTATTGTAGGTCTATTTGTCAGAAATATCATTTCAAATCTTCTGATTGGTTAAAATCAATACTGAAATAAAATTAGCCAATCAGAGTTCTAGAATTATAAATTTATGATGATCATTGTTGTTTTTGACAAAAAGACCTTACACTCTTATTTTCTATCTACTCTATTCTGTCTCTAGAGCTACTGATAGTCAACGAATACAACATCAATCTCAACAACAAAAACAACAACAACAGCAAAAACAGCCTCCTAAAAACAGAGGAGAGTCTGTAAGGTTGTTACAGTTTTTTCTTTTTTTGGCAGTTTGTTTCCTTAGCATGATAATTATAAGGGAGAATATATCTGAAGACTCTATTCTTTTTCTTTGACGTCTGGTATTGGGAAGATATTTTAATGCTTTTGCCATTCTCAAATTTTGCTTTCTTTCAGTTTTTCAAAGCAAGTACAAAATTTGTCCAATTGTCTGACTTTAACTGATATTTTCAGTTGCAATATGATTTATTTTAAGTTATACTTGAATTAAGAAATTCAGTTATGGTCTCCTGTATCTATATGTAGTAAATATTAACATGAATATCCAAGTGATATTGCTGCATGTTGTTTACATAGTTCATGTGTTAATACTAAACATGAAGTTACCTAGTTGTAAAAATAGCGTACTTCTTAAGTCATGATCTAGTCCAGTTTTGTCTTGTGATCCTTAGATCCAGATATCAGAAAATTATGTACTTCAAAATTTATTTGTCCAGTGAAGCGTTGTATTAGGACCCTTATGTGTAGTGTTACTAATGGGTTTTTCCCTTACCACCCTAAAAATTCATCTTTGAAATGAGATTGGTTGTTTGTTATGCTTGGTAAATTTGTATTGTCTGCAGTAACCCAGTAATATGTATATAGTCATCAATGTTTACAAACAGTATTCCAAATTAAAATCTGCTCTCCTGTGATCCATACTAACATAATGTGGAATTGAAGACAATGGTAACTTTCAAGTAGTTATTAATTACCGTAACATAACCACCCTTTAAACAAACTATCTATAAATAGTAATATATATAACTATTTATTTTATATGGTCTTAACTGGTCTAGTTATTGAAGATATGGTTGTTTTTATAGATCTTTGTTCACTACTAACAAAATATTGATATTCCATCTGTAAAAACTGTCCTTGAAATAGTATGTAATTAATCATTTCATCTAGAGCTCATTGATGTTTTATAGAATTATAGAAGATGTGAGTGTTTTATGTAGATTCTTGATCACTGCTAACAAAACATTTTCCTTTCAGATACTTAATGGTTTTGTGTGTATTGTTGGTAGATATCATTTTATTCATGTAACATGTTAACCTTTTATTAACCCCCATTGTAGACCTAGACCTGCTAGACGTTACCGTGATGTTATAGTGTCTGAATCAGACGATGACTTACCAGACACTTTAAATGATCAAGATATTACTGAATGGCAAGCAGAAACACTCAGGTTTGATAATAATAACTTGTGCTGTGGGCATGGTGTGATCTTCATGTTTAAGGACCAAATCTCCTGTGAATTCTGATAATGAAATAGGGAGTTTTGTATATTTGTATATAAAAGGCTTATAAAAATTTCATTGTGAGGAAATTTCAAGAAATTAAAAAATATAGAGCCTATTTCGAATAACACCACAACAGATTTTCTCTAATACTAGAAAGTTATTCATAAATCTTATTGACATCTGCAAGACATATCCATTTATCTTAAAAATCAATTATTCATAGCATTTAATTATGGTGACAGTCAAATTTTAGATATCCATCCCATCTTTATCCTTATCATTTCTTAGTTATCATCTTACCAATAAGTTACTGTTTTAAATCAGAATTTGAACCTAGTGGTTAATTTTGTAGTGATGATGATCTAGATGACCTAGATTTAGAATATTACACGCCTGTATATGGTCAAACATCTAACTATTATAACTATGAACCTATTGGAACTCTAACACCTGACCCTCCAAGGTTTGATCACAGCATGGTGTCCAGTGTTCTGTGATTTACTTGTTTTGATAGATAGAAATCCAA